TATAAGCCACACGCCCGACTCATGATTAATAAAGGTACAGCTTATAATGTGAAAAATACAGAACTCAATATTATACTATCAAATGTTATTGCAGAAATTCTGTGAATTATTGTTACATAAGCAAATACATACAGTGGTAGAAAGAAGAATCTGTATTAAAAAAAGGGTGAACAATCAGCTATGAAACTCTTAATGTTGGTATTGTTCTTATTGTCAAATATGGTGCACTGACGAGAAAATGACTGTATATATCACAAGTTGGAACATGATGGATTGAAGAGGTTATTTGCAAGGCTGAGAAATGTTTACATGTGTGTGTATATATAAAGTATATGTTATAGGCCTTCATCAATAAGATGTTAGTACAATCATAACCATGTTTTACACATCAGTAGATATACTAGAAATAAGACAGTATTACTTGTAGTACAACATTTAGCTGCCTAAGTATAACACCAAATGTTTTTGATTGCTGTGAACTGAAATCAGTGCTTATGAATGTTAAAACACTGTTTTTGTGTTCACTCTATGAAAAAGTGATAGTTGTACTAGGTCATCTTGTATATAACAATATCATAAATATATTTAGAAATGAAACCTGATTCTTGTGGTGATCATACAGGATGGTACAAAAAAAGTCAGACAGTGAAATATAGCTTCTCCTCCAACGTAACAAACATTGCTCTGACAAACAATGATAATGTTACATTTCCCCATTCTTCACTGTGCATTCCTGGATAGTGCTACATAACTATTCAGAATTCATGTACATAGATATTCTGCCGTTAAAGTTGACGTAGATACCCATATATAGGCTGAAGGTTGTTTACGCATGAAGGGTGAATACTTCTCGCAGAACAGCTTTCCAGTCTTCTCAACTTTTTGTGGTTCAAACAGCTGTGACCTGAAGAGGAGTATTAATGTGTTGAGTGTGATTGGAGGATATGTGTGGTAGAAATCAACTGGAGATTGACAAGATAATCAAACACAGTATTAGATTTAGAGGGAGACAATCAGAGTCTAGTGTTCCAGAAATAAGTTTGGTTATCAGGAAGGATCGACGTTCCACTACGTACCATTTTAATCACGTTTATAATTGTGACGAGGGATCACTAATCATTTGTGTGGTAGGACCTCACGTTTTTTAGACAGCAATAATCAGGAGATAATACTACTCAGAGGTAAAGGATATAACTGAAGTAATCAAATCTCCAGTTCCATGAAGTCATTACTTGTTGTCTGAAATACCTTCGTTTTGTTTTTATTGCTGTACTCTTAGACTTGCTGTCGTGGTTTAGGGACATTGATAGTCCATTGTAATAACAATTGTAATCTTGGAAGTCTCAACACCAGACCTTAATTTGTCTACAGTGTTAGCAGGGCACTATGACCCTATAAAAAAACACCTTCTCCGTCTCATCAGCTGAAAAAACTACAGGAACATTATCAGAAGCTATCTTGTTTTTAGGTTGCTTTGAAGGTTCCTAATTTTTGTTAACATCAAATGGCAGGGTCAACTACTTCAAGAAATGCAAGATCAGGACCGTAAATGAGCTTGCCTACATTTGCGCGTCCTTCATTATGTGATTCACGGTAAACAGAATGAAGATTATTTGCTATATTTGTCTTCTTTGAACAGTCCCTTACCAATCCTCTTTGTGGGGTCTGTAATTGGCTCGGTCGTTTAGTTACCGACGACATACAGTGGCACTATTGATAAATCTCCTGTAAACGATGCTAAAGACAGTATTCTGTAGCATTTTGTCTTTTAGAATATGTCTGGAGCTATTTCACGTCATTTGATTATTAACATCTTGTCAATAAAACACAAACTGAAATTTGAAATTTTGTGCATAATTTTAAAAATAGTCAGAAAAAACAAAAAGAAATTTCTGAGTTTCAAATTTTTCAGCCATTGGGTGGAACTTTTAAGAATGAATGGGATCATATTAACAAATACGACAATACATTGCTGTTGCATGCATTCATTTAATATGTCCCTGTTCATGTGTACCATACTGTTAATACTAGTGTAACAGAGGTAATTTTTTATCTCAATGCTTTCTCTAGGAATTGAACCCGGGACCCCTGGCTTACTAGTCTTGACGCTCAACCAATCCAGCTAACGTGAAGTTCTCTCTAGCCGAGTGGTATATTGCGGCTAGCATTTTACCAGGGTTACATACTCCCCCCTCCAGGAAGTAACTCATCCTCGAGTTTCTAGGTGTTAGAGTGATGCTGGTGGAGCATGGCTAAGTACTATTCCCGGGTTCCTACATGGGCGCCAATGTAGCAGAGGTCATTATATATTTCAATGCCTCTGCCAGGAATCGAACCTGGGACCCCTGGCTTACTGGTCTGATGCTCAACCAATCGGGCTAGAGAGAACTTCAATTCCTAGCGGAGGCATTGAAATAAATAATGATCTCTGTCACAGTGGTGGCCCCTAGATCCTCAGTATGTTGACTGTAGACCTTGTAACGCTAGGTTTGACAGCTGGCTTTAGCAACAGAATTAGACCTGGTCACACCAGTTCTGGCAGGGACACTTCTGGTTGTGGATGGAGGTTTTGCCCTTACGGGTTTAGGTCTATTCATGACATTATTATCTGCACATAAATTTTGATCCAGATGTTTGAGAGCAGAGTTTTGATCCAGATGTTTGGGAGTTTAGACTTGCAGGACTGCCAGTTCTGGAGTTGGAACTTGTTGAGAATCGACTTTCCAAACACATCCATGTAGGCTTCTTGTTCTCTTCATTGGTACAGGCATTTTTGTGGAACTCTTGGGTACTGGTAATCGTGGCAGTCTTAATACCTGTACCATTTAGAGTAACTAATGGCCTCTTCAGCTGGCTTACTATCGTCAATACTGTAGCTGAAGAGGCCATTAGCTACTCTAAATGGTACAGTTAGTAGACACTAGTTTACCCATGGCAGGGATATGGAAGGATTAACACTTTCAAACGAAAAGTTGTATTTAGGTTAACAGTGCAAAAAAGTGAAATGAGCTTGTACTGTTATTGCATCTGTGGTTCGTTCACCTTATGTCAACTGTACCCAATAAATGAATTATTTTCAATAACAAAAATAAAAAGTGATATTTGCCTGGATGAAGCCAGGCAGTTTTTGAAAAGAAATTACCTTTACCCCTATTAAAGATCACTGGTCAAATTTGTTCAAATTTTCATATGACTTCTTCTTAGTAACCAAAAGGCCTAGAATCATGATATTTGGCTGATAGGTTCCTGGGATGAGGGCATACCCTGCAAAGTTTGCAAAAGAACTACCCTTAAGCCATATTCAATGTCACAGGGGTTAAATTTGTTCAAACATTTCAATTACTTTTCTCATTTGAGTTAAGTTATGGATTTGAATAAAGTTGAATTTATAATACAAATGCTATTGAAACCATAAATCTGAACTGATATTTTCTAATTTTTCAATCAGAGTCATGTGTATGCTGTTAAATCAGTTTCATTTTATTGAGCTTCAACTGTTGGAAATGTAATTGGATTTTAACACGTTAATAAAATGGTGAATTGGAGCAAAAAATATTGTCTTCAGAATATTTGGATACATTGTGGAAAGAAGTAAAGTATTACATCAGAGAAGTGCTACATGAAACCCCATTTGTTGGCCTCAAATCACAAAGGTTATACTTTTCTCAAAGTCGTGTTTTAATTATGTTTTTCTTAATCATCATTAATAAGGCTAATTAGATTAATGTATAAATTTGTGTTCTGTAATTGGACAAGTATCAGAATTGCTAAATTAATTGTTGAAGGTCATGTGACTGTCAATACAGTTACAGCGAAGCAGCCTGCATTCATTTCTTTTAACACTGATGGATTAGAAAGAGGTGTATTAAGACTAAATTAGGCCATGGCATTCCAACAGTTACATTGTTGTACATACAATGTAGATATTTAACTAAGACATACTGCATTTAGTTTCACTTCTCCCTCATATACCACTACAGGTTCTTGAATTTTGACATCACATGCACTCTCTTTTGACAAAAGTAACTTTACAATTTCATTCTGTTTGCCTCTCTCAATCTTTATTCAGTCAATTTCTTTCAAACTTGGTAAGCTTTACCATGTCATGAAGTGGTGTTATCCTACACCACAATTTGATTAAACAATATTTGAAGGAGTTACTACCCATTGTTTGTATAGCATTTTAATTTTTTAAGAAGGTCTGCTTCCTCAGTTTTTCACTAATTTCACTGAAACTTGTTTGGCTCTCTTATTATTACATGAAATGGTGCTTCCCTTGCTGGCACTGTGATTTTATAATTTTGGAAAGAGCTTTTGTTTTTATTTTGAACAGTTTCATGTTGTTAAGTTTTCAACCTATTTCTTTGAAACTTAGTTACCACAACATGAGATCATGTTCTCTTGAATAACATTTTTTTATTCAAGAAAAATTACTGCTTTGAGCATTTTATCTTGTCCAGAAGTTTTTTCAATTTTCCATCCATCTCTAAAAAATTTCAGTTGATATGCTTTGATTTATCATTCAAACATATAGCGCTGTTTCCCTGTTGACATTTTGACTTATTATAATATATTGTTTTCATATTTGTATTCTTTTCGATACGGGAAAACCTTAATGTTTCTTTGGCATAGGACAGATGAATGTTAGTTTGTCAAGTGGTTCTCTTGTTTAGGGTTTTCAGTAACACTGCCATGCACTATAGATATATGGTTATAGAGAGAGGATAAATCAAAACAACTGTGCATAGAATATGTACAAAATGTCACTTTAAGAAGAGGCAGCTTTATAAACACTAATACACTATTTTTTGTTACTGTAAAATGGTTCCAATAAGCACTGTTCTCTTTGTACACTATAAGGTGATTCCATTTTGTATCACACTTGAACACTACAAGATAATTCCATTTAGCACGAAGACACATTAAACACTGTAAGATGGTCCATTAAACACTTTAAGATAGTTCTAAGAATAACACTGTTGGATATATTCACAGTTTTATCACTCCATATGCAATAGATATGTGGCTCTGTCTCCATAATTGATGAAGTTGATCTCGTCGTTCTGTAGGAGAGTTTTCAATTGGATCAGGCGGTCATCCAGGTTCCAATAGCGTTGTCTCTTTGGCACAGGTAAACCTCCAGCAGCACGTTGAATCCGGTTGATGTCATTGGCAGCTTGGATGTCTTTCAGTACACGGATGAACAGATAGATGTTTGGGTGCTCATGTGGAATCCTCTTCTTGAGTTTGCTGTGCCATCCTTCAAGATTGTTGGTAGTCCTCGGCCCGTCGTTGTCGAAGTGGTTCCAAACATGTCGGTCTCCTTCTATCCATTGGGTTGTGACATAGTCGGTGAATGGTGTTGTATCCACTGGTAGGTCGACATCTTCAAGGTCATCCATTGCGTTGAACCAGTAGTCCTCAATGCGTTGTGGAGGTATAAGTGGGAGAACAGCTGCACGTCTAACAAGTCTGTGGATATCCTCGTTGTCTCTGTAGAAGGTCTGCGTGAAGTGGAAGAAGCACCCTTTCACTGTAATTCCTTGGAATATGGATTTGGCGGCGTCCATGAATATCACTGTCGGGTTCAGTTGAAGTTGTCGTTCTTCCATTGTAGACTTCTCCAAGAATCTGGTGTAAAGTTGACTGAAGAACCTCGGACAAATGTAGAATGTTCTGCTGCAATACAGAGTGGTAGCTGTTGACAGGATCTCTAGGTTACTGGTAGTGGCAAAGGCTAAAATCCTCGAGTTGTCTCTGTTGTCATCGAATAGTACAAACTGGTCCCCTGTGTTGGTGAGTGTCCATTCGTTCTCTAGTGTGATATCTGCCACTGAAGTCGGTAGTTTGGGTAGTAGCTTCGCTCTGCTGTGGTAGAGGGATGTCTTGCAGGAGGGATAGGTTGGTATCTGTTCCACCATTCGTCGTTTGTCATCTGTCCAATCTAATGTCTGTAAGTGGGCGATTTCTTCGTCGTAGATGGCGGGTACGGCTTTACGTTCTTCTCTGCATCTCTTCTTTATACTATTCATGACCTTCTTTACTTCTACTTGAAATCGGTTGGGTTGGTGGTTGTGCTGGTGGCCCATCTTCGCTGGAATGTCATCTCTGGTGTTGATGGTTGCTGGACAGTCTCTAATGCAGCATCTCCAATAGGTTGTATCTCGGTAGTTGTTCTTCACCATATAACTAAATCCGGCTTGATGTAGAGTCCGACCACCACGCTTGTTGGTTGTGAATTCAACTTGAACTTGGTAGTTTGCCATAGTTGCAACGATAATGTCCATTTCCAACTCTTGTGATATATATGTACTTCCGTTAAGCTTGGGTATTCACTATTTCCACTCAACAGGATGACATGTAGCTTGGGTATTCATCTCAAACTCAGTTTGGTGTTAACTGTTCACATTCAAATCTATCATAGTTGTTCTCTTAATTACTCATTTAAAAACCTTCATTGTCTTAATTGGTTTTTATGAGATCCATGATATGTATTTTCTTAATTAATCATTAAAATAGATTAATTATGAGTTTGAGTTCAGAATAAGTTTCTATAAAATAACGATCACAAACCCATTTAATAGTACGATAATTTCAGATGAAATGTTTAAGAGAAAACAAAATGCTTAAAATAATATTATATATCTATTTGTTTATTATTATTATTTTTTTAAACTGAAATACACACACATATATGTACACATTTTTACAAAATACCACATACTAATTTACCTGTATGAATTTTGGGACAACTTCCCTTACCTGTTAAAACAACACTGCAGTACCTTACTGTTATAACAACACACAGGATTTCGGGACAAACAGGAATTATAAATTTTCAGTTTTGGGACAAACAGGATTAAACCAGTACTGATACTGTCACTTGTTTTTATACCTAACCCTGCATAATACATAACAGACACAAAACAAACTATGTCTGTTACCATTACCAGGTTGGAGTAAGCAGCAGCTGTAGAAATGTTTAAATGTTTCAAAACAGTAAATAACATCACCAGCACTGCACAAGAGAAAATTTGAGTGTGAAACGTTGCTCTAAATTTATATATATACATATATTCAGATTTAAACTTGAATCAAATTGATTGGATGTTACTCACCCTATAATAAAATTTGTCATGTCCCATGGGGAAACAATCATGCCCACTATTTGTTAAAATTGTTATAACATGAGGCAAAAGTCGGAGAAGATTGAAGTGGTTTTAATGCACAATATTACGACGAGAGTCTCAAAGTTGTACCAAAACCTATTGATAGGATATGCATGGCATAATTCAATTATACCTCACAATACTACCAGAAACACAATTTTTCTTCATATAAGATTCAAGTTAGATATATCTGTGTAATGCTGGAAAAAAAGTGTAGACACAAATTGAAGAATCAATATATGTGTAGCAGAACACTTTTTTTTTGCCAATTTATGTTCCTCGCAAATGTACTAAAAAATCTGGAATCCACATAATAGGATATATTAAGTTAGGGGTATATTGAGTTAATTACAACATAATGAGTTTTACGTATCATCATACCTGATTATTACAGTTGGAGAAGTTTCTCTAGTTAGAAGTTGGTGTGACAGAAGATAGATTGCATCATTGAAAAACACAGAGGGAACTACATGTACTGCTTGTGGCTGATCAATTATCTGAAAGTTTTTTGATTGCTTTGTGTTCTCACATAGAAGGAAGTCAATTGTCTGAGGCCAGGAGACAACTACCTAGAGTGTAGGCTTATGGTGGTGTTGAGATCAGTACAGATTATACTCAAACTTTTTATGCATGACATATGAATCGTGTGAGATGTTCATGCTCTGTTGAGCATTGCCAGCAATATGGATGCCCTTTCACTGGTCTTGGAACAATTGTATAAGTAATGCTTGAAATCCTTATCATCAGGTGTTGTAAAATTGATCATGACAACATTGACCATGCTTAGGGGAAATGACTGCTGTTTTAAGGATAATGATTACCTTTTGTTAAAAATAAAGTCTTGATCACTGAAAGCTGCTAGAGTTGTCTTTCTTTACCTTCAAGTTCTTTAGATCCACCGCCCAAGGGACACTATCCTGTTATCCTTCATCAAATTCAGACTGAAGTGGCACTTGTTCCTGTTGATTCATCAACAATTTTCATGCAAGATAATTTTTTGTTTTATTTTTATTTTTTCGTTTATTTACTTAGTTACTTTTTGTATTTATTTTTTTGTGGATGGGGAAGGCAAAAGTTAGTTGGGAAAAATATGACTTGAATGAGACTTTCTAATTAATCAAGGTTAAGAGCAGATAAAGACAAGCGAGTTGTCCCGTATAATTAATGAAATAGAAGTATTTTATTCCTGCTAGACCAGGGAAAAATTTATTATAACTTGTTTCTTCAATCTATTTCAATATGTTCATAGTTGTCAATCGAGGTCTGTTTATCTTGGACCAGAAACTTTTGGCCAAAAACTTTTTGTCATCACTTTATAAGGGAGGTAACTCTTTCATTCTTAAACAAAATGTTGATCTGCTTCTGTTTTATTCAAAGAGATTCTAAAGAAAGCTGAATGAAAACGATAAAACTGTCACTAAAATATGAATATATGATCTACAAATGCTACATTGTTCCTTTATAATGACAACCTCTTAAGGTGTTACATTACCACTATTTATAGACAACCACTTAAGGTGTGGCATTACCACTATTTATAGACAACCACTTAAGGTGTGGCATTACCACTATTTATAGACAACCACTTAAGGTGTTACATTACCACTATTTATAGACAACCACTTAAGGTGTTACATTACCACTATTTATAGACAACCACTTAAGGTGTTACATTAACACTATTTATAGACCACCATTAAAGGTGTGGCATTATCACTATTTAACCACTATTTATAGACCACCATTAAAGGTGTGGCATTACCACTATTTATAGACAACCATTAAAGGTGTTACATTACAACTATTTATGGACAACCATTAAACATGTTACGTTACCACTATTTTCAAGACAGCCATCAAAGATGTTACATTACCACTATTTTCAAGACAGCCATCAAAGATTGTTACATTACTACTATGTAAGGATGACAGAAGGTGATATTTTGCTGCTTTATAAAGACAACCATAGAAGGTGTGATGTTGGTGCATTATAAAGACAATAGAAGGTGTTATATTCTAGCTTTTTAAAGATGATCTAGAATGTATTACATTTCTCATTTATAAAGACAGGAGTTGTTATATTGTTATATATGCTCCCCAAAATGTTCAGGGGAGCATATAGTTGTCACTATGTATGTCAATCTGTCTGTCTGTATGTCTGTTTTGTTTGTTTGTCCTTTGGTGTCTGGAGCATAACTTTGCCCACAAATAAACAAGGATCATGAAACTTGGTATATACATTGATCATATTAAGGTGATTTGCAGTGTACCCCAGAATTACAGAGTTACAGTCCCTTTTTAAAATTTCGTGTCCAGAGCATAACTTTGCTTGCGTTTTAGCTAGGATAATGAAACTTGGTGTTTAGATTGATCATGCAAGGACAGTGTGTAGTGTACCAAATGTAGGGCCCACAACCTCTAATTAGAGAGTTATTGCCCTCTATTAATTGTTAAAAGTTTGTATTTAGAGTACAAAATTAAATTGCTTGCATTTTAACAAGGATAATGAAACTTGGTGGATACATTGATCATACCGAGACAATTTGCAATGTACCAAATTCAGGGCCCTCGACCCCCTCAATTATAGAACTATTCCCCTTTGTTGTCGGGAGCATAACTTTGATCACAGTTATGCAAGGATCATGAAACTTGTATGTTTTGATTAAACTGAGATAATGCATTGTGTACCAAATCCCAGACCATTTATTCCACAGTTACAGAGTTATTGCCCTTTGTTAAAAACACTTTATTCAGAGCATAGCTTTGCTTTGCATTTAAGCTAGGGAAATGACAACATATTATAGCAGGTGTTATATTATTGCATTATTACTGAAGTAATTTGGGGTGATATTCACATTGAAATTTTGAGGAAATTGAAGATGGAATAAAGGATGAATGTTTAATCTATAACACACATTACAAAACCTTCCATAACTTAAAACAACTTCATTATCAAAGCATGATCAAATATCCTTAATGGAATTGTGATAATTCTTTCTGATGACCTGTGTCTGGTCAGTAGTCTGACCTTGAAAAGTTGAAGCAGACTGGCCATTGTGTTAGATGTTAAATGATTTTTGTGGATTCCAGTCTTTCAGTCCTTGTACGATGAACTTTGACCTCTTCAGCAGTTTATACCTGGTAATTGTGAATGGAATCAGACATTCTAAGAGATATTTGTAAGACTAAGTATTGTCAACAAGTCTGATGTTTTCACAACAATCTAACTTTATTAGCCATATTACAATAGTGAAAGAATTCCTGTCTCCTGTTACTGACCTTGAAATTCTGTAGTGGTTATACATGTCTAAGTACCTAATGTTATATGGGGAAACAAAGGATTTGTTTTGCTTTGTAAGTAGGAAGAGCTGAGAATGTCTGATAACATAAGTCTTGCCTCGAGATTCAACGGATCTAACATTTAGGAAGCTTTCCCAAGACTTAGAATTCAGGAAAATCTGATATAAACAAACCACTATCAGCTGTCTTTGTTGATATGAGGTCTAATATTTGTTATATCAATTGTACATTGATGATGTAATAATAGCTGTTTGGCTGAGATTCACAAAGGTTAGATAAATATCATCAGATTTTTATTTTGAGTTGCTGACAATTATTTCAGATAAAAAAAATATCAAATTGTGAATGCATGAAGTTGTTGCATGGCAAAATAAAATTCTTTTATAAAGTTTTGATTCTTTTGCAGTGATATTACAGTAACCTTGATTGGTTTGGTTTAGTTTATGCCCCATGAACAGTCATTTAAGTATGTGCCACTAGTTTAGTTGGTAAAGGAAAGACAGAGTTTCCAGAGAAAAAACACTGACCTGCGGCCGTTCCCTGGCAACTGCCGAATGAAGGCCCTGATCTTGCAACCCAGTGGTGCAGTGATAAAGATGCTCTGAGGCTTTAACCACTTGACCACCATGGTTTAGACAAAGTCTCGAGTGACCTATTGCAATCATCTTTGGTCCGCCATCGTCTGTCATGCGTCGCAAACAATTTACAATTTAGACTTCTTATCAATAACCAAAAAAACCCAGGGTCATGGTATTGAGCTAGTAGCATGCTATGATGAAGGGCTACCGAGTTTGTTC